AAAGCAGTTCAATTAGGTGTTCAATGGTAGATGATGTACTATACAGCCTTTTACACCTCCCGTCACCTTTAGATTCAGTATAAGCTCTCCTTTTACCTTTGGTTTTTGTCTCTATCTGACTCTTTCTAAACCTGTCAGACGGAGAGGGACTGTGATTCTGTGTGTGTGATGGCTTGTGTGCCTCTCACTGCTCCGGTGAGGAGCTTCAGGGAGGAACACGGCCATTAGGAAGGTGATGCCATCACTGCAGGGCATGAAGGCTTTATATCATCAACCTGACACACACACACACATGCATACACACAGATAATACTTTCCAAGATGTTCCATTGCTATTTCTTTAAACACTGAGGTGCCTGCAGCTGGAGATATTTTATATTCAAACTAAAAACAATGTTGAATTGTGAGGGTGTTATAATCCCGCAGCGTTTCTGTGGCTGAACTTCAGATTTCTCCTGGTTACACCTCAGCATTCTGCTCACGTTCTGGACTTCTCTTGGATTGCATTTTTCTCTGTATCAAGTTGCCTACATGAGCGGATACACTATATTACCTGTCGGAGATACTCTCCTGTATCAGCTTCCCTGCCCATCACTTCGCATACCAAGCTGTTGCAAGCAACAGGTGTTGTAAACTGAGCTTTTTTTTTAGTATTATTATTATTTTTAGAAAAGTGGTCTTGATGACACTTTACTTTTGATTGAAAACAGACATAAAACTGAGAAAAAGACCCTTATACAGCATGTCAACAACTTCTACTTAAGCTAGCTTAAAACTACATTAGTGAGACTGTAAATGTGTTTAACGGAACATGCTGCATCTAAGCCAATTATGTATGTCATGCAAGAATTGACATATAATAAACTGAAACTTTTATTCCCTCTGTCATTCCAATCACCCACCTATTTGATTGCAGACTAATTTCGTTTGATTTTTAATTTTTCTTTTTTTTTATGTTTAGATGTGTGGATTACTTGGATTGTTGCCCAAGTTTAATGTTGAAATCATGTCACTGAAAATATTACAGTAATTTCATTTATTACAATATCACTGAAAAAGTAATTCATTTAGGAACTTTGTTCACAGACTTCCGTTAATTATGATTTTCTGCTGAAAGCTAATGAAAACAAATTAAATTTTAATTTGTTTTTATGTGATGCTGTTTTCAAGTTAATAAATGAATGGTTTATTATAAATAAAATTAGACTGATTGCTTTGCAAAAAAAAAATAATAATAATAATACAAATTCTTTATTTTTCTTCTTTGTCATGACTTGAGGGTGATGCAGTTTAATCACAAACTGTACACCAATGATCTAAGAGCAACAAGAAAATTGGCACAGAAAGACCTAGAAATTGGTTTAGCTACTATGGGGTGTTGTTTGTTGTGCAGTATTGTATGAGAAGCACCTGAGAAGAAACACAATGAGACTGTGCTGGATGTGGCGTCTCTTCACCAGTTGGCGGTTTGTCTGCAGGTGGGCCGCTGGAGGTGACAGCACAGACTGTAACTCAAGCTGCTCACTTTTACCCTCCCAAACAATCTGTCACTCCACAACAGCCACGCACAATGCAAGGGCCCACGCTGACATGCCAGATACAACTTTCGCCCATTTTACATCAGCTGTTGGTATCATGGGAGTCACACAAAGAGGGGGGCGGGGGGGAGGAGCTTCAGAAAGAAGAGAGCAAATGGTGCCCCCTGATTAGCCCAAAAATGTTGGGCTAATCGGTCTTTTAGGTGTTTATGCAAAATTGTTCCACGAGTTAATCATATTTAATTCAGAATTTCACAGTTGTGTTCTTTTAAATTGGGCCTTTTTTTGTTTGTTTGTTTAGATGACTTTTCCCGTAAGTGAAATCAGTTGAAAAATGTGTTTTATTTCTCCTCAGATTAATTTTGTCTGATATTAAAATCAAACATTTGGAGCAAAAAAAAAAAAAAAAAAAAAGTAATTTGTAAATATGGATACATTGCTTCTGTGCAGAGATGTACCATTTCCTTGGCAGGACAATTGCTGGAGCTGATCCTCTGTAGCACATTCTAGATTAAGAATGGAATGGACATTAGAGTTGCATGGACTGAGCTCAAAGGTACAAATAATGTAAAAACTCTTGTTCTAATGTTCTTCTAATACTTATTTAAATAAACGAATATGACTATATGAAAGTTTTCTCTTCATTGCATTCATGTAAGAGTGTAGAGACACTGTTTGACGCATTGCACAGTTTTTAAAGGATAGATTGTTCACTCTGAGGATGAGGTGGATGTGATAACGATTGTTTTCATACCTTTTTTTTTTACAGGGATAACTTTGTGTTTCATGGCAGCAACCAAATAAAATCAAAGAGCAATGTTGTCTTTTCCATTCTATACAAGAAAATCTGACTTTCTATACTTTGATACAGTTATTATGTAACTGTATTATGTAATATATTTGCTGTTGTTTCTTTCCACAGAGCTGCATACCTTACAAATTGCTTTTAAAATTGTTGCGATCCAATGTCGTGTTACTCGGGTCATTTCTTTTTCTGTTTTCTATTTTAGCCACGAAAATAAACTCTTTCATGCTGATATTTAACAGACAACTCTAAGTGTTGACAATTTCCTCGGCTCACTGTACGCAGGAAAAAATTAACAGCATGTGGATGTGGAGAATTGTTATAAATAAACAACAAGAGACCTAAATTAACAATAAAACTTAATTAGTCGCAATAAATATTTGCACATCCTCAAAACTTCATTATAATTTAGCCATCTGTGTATTGAATGAACATGATCCAGGCCTGTTTATTTTGTTAATAAGATGATGTTGCTACGATACTCAACTTGATAAAACATGGGACGTTAAACCAAGAACGTCCCATGTTCTTGCTTCCTGTGCAAGGCACAAATCAGCAAAGTGTTCTAAACTGAAAATTGTTCCAAGCACATATTATAATTCCTGTGGTTATTGAACAGTTTAATTGCAGCTATTTCCTGTTTAGACAGGAAATAGATGCAATAAATACTCAATTCTCTTTGCTTATAGATATTTTCCTGACAGCATCATTGCTTAACATGCTGCACTCAAAGCAGGAGATGTTAAAAATAAATGTATCATAGACAGATACATTTTTAATATTCTTATTAATGAATGTGACTTTTTAAGCGCCAAGGTTTGAAATCATGTCATCGGAGGATAACGGCAACGGGTCCCGTTCGGATTTAGTGTAAAATATTCCACGGGACCATCCGAATCTTGGCAAAAGCTGCTACTTCCAGAGGGGATCTCAGCAGCAGGCTGCAGCACTATGTGGTGCCTGAGGTGTGGTGACATGATGTGGGCTGACAGGTGGCACTGTGGGTAATAGGGCTAAAACTCCCATCATGCAGCCTGCTGAGACCCATTCCTATCACTTTGGCTGGCCAAATGTGCTCACCTACTCAGCCGCTTCTCGCTCATTACCGCATTGTGATTAAAAGCTGCAGCAAAGTCACAACTGGGATGTAGCTATGAGGTGTGGTGTGACTGAAATTAACTGAGAAGTAAAGCTTAAAGCTGTGTGCACACAGTCGGCAGATTATAGCAACAGACCGTGTTGCATACAGTAACTGTCTTTCAGCAGGTCAATCACCATTTAAATGCACTCATGGTAAAATAGGTTTAGTCGAGGCAAATCCTTAAACAACCTTGCTATGCTGTCGTTATGTGTTGCTATTATCTGCCATCTTAACAGAATGATGTAAAAGTTCAGTCACATCAGATCATGTTTTATAACATCCCCATAATTTCCTTGCATGTGATTGGATATTTAACATTTCATAATGATTTCCATGATTGCATTTCCAATGGTTAGAATTAGTTTTTGAATTAAATTGCAATTAAATCCATATGCGATCAAAAAAGTGATTCATCCACAAACTTTGTTCACAGACTAATGTTTTCAACACTGTATGTTTGTTAATTATGATTTTCTGCTAATGAAAACAAATTCAATTTAAGTTTGTTTTTCTGTGATGTTGTTTTCAAGTTAATAAGTGAACGTTATAAATAAAATGACATTGATTGCTTTGCAAAAATAAAAAAATAAAAAAGATAATACAATTTCTTTATTTGAATTAGTTTTTTGAATTAAATTGCAATTAAATCCATATGTGATCGCCGCAATAGAATGTATGTTTCTTTTGTCCGCCAAACAAAACATCTGACACCAATTCAGATCAAGAGATTTCACATAAAGAGTAACCAGCACTGGGTCTAGCTGTGCTATGGACTGTATCATTATGCAAAGCAGGCCTTTTGAAGACGTTTCTGACCTATCTACATGCAGAAGTCAACAACACGGTGATGCTCTGCCTCCAACAGCAAAATTCAGATTAGGGTAACTGTTAGGTACACAATAATTTTGCTCATCATTTGAAAACAATGATTTTCCTAATATATATACCCCCAAATGTATTTTTGTTATATATACATATATACAACCTTTTGCACAATGGCAGCATGAAAGACAACATGGGAATCAGTTTTAGATCTTCATCGATTAACTATTGCGCTTTTCAGTATTTTTTTTTTGGTGGTTTATAATTCGTCTTTAATAGGTAGTTTATAGATTTGAATTAGTGGGTACTTGGTTGGGTATCTATGGGTGAACTGATAATAAATTTGATGTTAATGACATATTTTTTCAACAGAAGTCTTTGGTATTCTGTTGATGTTACATTCACTCTAAATCCTGAGGTGCATACGGAGATGTTCTCATACTTCCTTTAGTGCAATATCTCAAGCAAAGGAAGTAAACATCCATCAGAGAGATCTTAAAAAGCTATGGACTGATTTATTCATGAGCATCAATCTATTTTCAACTAACCTAATGTAGTTATATTACTAAGAAGAAACAAAAATTACATCCAGCAGAATGGACAGACATCAGATCCTGCTTTTGTGCCTTGGCACATCTTGCAGCTTTATGTTTGAAAAGCAGTTCCACAACCGGAAAGACGTACACAAACATTATTAGTTCTTCAACAATTTATTTCTTTTCCATCAAAAGAAATGCACAGATCAGCAAAGCTATTACATACAAATCGCCATACAATAGCAGTTCATTATTTTATTTTATTTTTTTTTTTGTTGACGTTGAGGGGTGATCGGTTTATTCCATTTGTTGTTTTTACACTGTATCTCGAACATTTGAAGTTATGCTGCATTCAGCAACAAAATAGGAAATACCAACGTTTTTTTTTTTTTTTTTTTTTTTTTCCCCGTTTAACCACAAACTACGTACTGTATCTGGTCAGTTAACAGATTATCGCTCCAGTAAGACTATTGTATTACATACAATATGGAAAAAAAACAAAAAACATTTTGCATAGCTTCATTGTAATGTAGATACAGTACTGTAAGGCACTTCATAAAGAACTTTAGGCATTTATTTTACCTTTTGCCACTTCTCTCCAGAAACGTCACTTTAATATGCAATGTTACAACATCTGAATAAAACTTTTCTGTAGTCACATTTTTGCCCACTAAGTATTATCTTCTACACTTCTCTGCTTTTCTTTTGGCATTAAGTCTCAGGTTCGACATTCATACATTGTGCATAATATTGACTGAAACATTGTCTGATAACCCCACACACCCACTATTTTTTCCAAAACACTATAAATAAATACATAAGTAAATAAATATAAAAAAAAAAAAATTGTGCAATAACTTGGGGTTATGTTGTTGAAAAGGCAACACACGTCAATAACAAATCCCGAATCTAAAACAGATCAAATAAGTCTGAACAAGTCAGAATCCTGTTTTTTTTTGTTTCTGTACCAACAGTGGCGATCAACATGACCTCCACTCATCTCTTGTTTTTAATAAAAACATTTCTTTAAGCTTCTTGCCAAACATTTTCAAAGCAATGCTGGGTTGACTGTGTATGTGTGTGTGTGTTGTATCTGTCTGAATAGAGAAGAGGAAAACGCATCTCCTCTATCCCAGCTGGTCTTCGTACTGCTTCCGGAAGCAATCTCCAGCTGGGAAGAAATCCCAGCAGCGCTCCTGATACATCTTCCACACATAGGACTCCTGGGCACCAAGCAGAGACAGTCTTATGAGATTAAAAAAGCCAGCTTAAATTAAGGAACTTGAAATCCTCACACAACATTTTTGCATATCAGAGGGAGCAATTCTCTGATTCAGGATCATTTTCTTAACAAATAGAAATTGCTCTTCTCTTCATATTCTCAGCACTTGGAATGTGTTTGAATCGTTTTAGTTTAACTAGTTTGATGCACCTCAAACCTAAGTAGCTAACAACTGGTTTTTGCATCTTTATAATCAAACAAGATCGGACAGATGGCTGAAGGATCTTATAATGATACCCTTCGGCTTTGTGCATAGAGAAGATACTCTACCTGACCAGTGTGCTCTGTTTCATCCTTATTGATGAGGTACATCAGAAAAAACCTTAAAAGACAAAGACATCACCGTCAGTTCGTAACATTCTGCGCACAGACAAGAGAGAGAGAGAAAATGAGATGTGCAGATTCAAATTTGTTACATGATGCCACGTTATTTTTGGACAATCAATGTCTGAGGCGAGAGTCTAAACAAAGCAACAAAACCCTGCCTCCATCCCCGAATCACCTGCTGCTTTCAAAATCAGGTGTAAATGGCAACGAGCCACCAGATCTCTGTGGGCGTCACAGCACGCCGGTTCATAATGAATACTGCATGAGAGTGCACTATGGCAAACTTATTTTCCAATAAAGTTCATAGCATTAAATAGTAATGAAGCGAGATAATGAGGTCGTCTCGGATCCACTGGCTAGCTGACTGTGAGAGCAAATGGACTGAGACTTTCTGTTGTTAGTGGTGTTATGCAGAAGCCATAGCCAAGCAGGGAGTTCAGAGGAAGCACACCGGGGGGGGGAGGGGCATCTCCTGGATCGAGTTATCTGGATCGTTTCGCCCCACGTACTGTGCCAATGTGCTAAATCTACCAGTCAAATAGTTAAAGATCAAAAGCAACACATGAGGAAAAATGGACGTACTAATTACCGTGAAGATTTGTACTTACAGGTAGTTGGCCAAATTGTGCTCTTGCAGGGTGTGAGTCTCGAAGCCATGAGGCGTTGTGTCAAAGTAGTCGTTACCAATGCCGCAAATGAAACATTTAGTCTGAGGGCAGAAGATAAAAACGTGTTTATAGGATTTATTCTACGTTGCTTCACTAGCATTGTTGTGTTTGATAAGTGTGATAGAAGGTATTCTTCCCCAGGTCAGCACCTGATTCATGTTTTATGTGAATACTAAGGCTGAGAAAATTACTCTGAAGAAGGCATGCTAAGTTGTATGTAGTGTGAGAAAAGCATGCAATTTTACTTTGCCTCCATCATATATTTTGTCTAAGATTACCCCATTATGTATGTAATAATTAAATGTATGGATTGACAGAGACAAAACATACACTATTCACAAAAAAATCCTGAAATTGGGTCAAAATCCCCATTAAATTATGTAAAACATGTTCTTACCTCCATGTCTTCTTTGACTTGCTCCTGCTGATCTCTCAGCTCTCCAAAGGCGTCAATAATCAAACCTACATCCACAAACAGATGTTATGGGCATAAATAAGCATCATCCTGAACACAAACAGTGTTCTGCAGATGCACTTTTGAACTATTTTCCTTCTTTCATGTTGCAGCTGCAAAAGTCACTCTTTTGAGGGGAGTTTATGAGATGCACTGCAACTGTATTCACACTGCCTGAGTCAATACTTTGTAAAATCTCCTTTCACTTTGTGCTACTATCAACTTTGCAAATAATCTTTCCTTATTATTTTTGGAGAATACCACAAGCTCAGTCAGACTGTATGGAGCAATCTGACAGCAAATTACAAGTTTTTAGGTCTGGACTTTGACTGGGCCATTAAAAAACTTTTATATGATTTGGTAAAAACTAATGATCTTTAAAGAGGGGGAGCTTGGATCTTGACTTTGACCAATAGGAGGAAAGCTGAATCTATATCCCCACCTATCAGACTCCCCCTCTCCTCATCTTCCCCCTTTTCCAATTTAAAGTCTCATAAAATGTCAGAAGGAAAAGCAAAAGAGAACATGACGAAAATAAAAGAAATCTTAAAAAAACAACAAAAACAAAAGCAGACAAAAGATAGAAACAGCAGGGGATAAAAATAGACAAAATAAATCAATACATGCTAAAAAGTAAGAGTAAATAATAACTAAATATATAAATATACAATATGAAAAATTTGAAAAAAATAAGGAAACTAATAAAATTTAAATTTTAAATTTCATTTTTAATTTAAAAATGATAAACATATTAGTTTGCGTCTAACATGTGAAAGTTCTAAACTCAAACAAGTTTAGAATTTTTTTTTTCATGAAATATTTAGCACATTAATGACTTTATCAAGCTATCTATTCATTTCTACATGTATTAACAGTTTTGTACCACTTGTCTTTCGTGTATCACAGAACCCTCTCCGGCTATAAAGTGACAAAATCTAAAAGAGTTGATCGGGAAGTGAGGAGTACGTAATACAAAATATCAGACAGCATCTTTGAGCCAAATGAAACAGATCGTTTTATCCTTTCCTAAAAACATTTATCGTAAAAACTGTGTGTACACTTGACAAACCTACCTTGAATGATAGCCAGCAGGATAACAATGACAAAGAAGAAGAACGTAATGTCAAAAAGGATGCGGTAGAGTTCGTACGGGTCGCCCGCCGGGTCCTCGATTTCGTCCCCGATGCCGCCTCCTGCTCTCACCCCAACGTACATGTGGAACAGATAGCACTACGACAACAAAAATGGAGAATTGTTTTAAGTGTGAGAACGAGACACAAGTTAAGTTGGAGAGAAAAAAACAACAACAACAAAACAATTAAATGGCGTTTTCCGTTCACCGTCATCATGTCATCACACTTCATGTCTGGCTCATCGTCATCCGCGCTCTTGTTGTAGAACTTCCTGAAGAAGTTAAAGGCCACCACAGTGTAGAGATAGACCACGACTGCCAGCAAGCCCACTGTCAACACAAGCTGCAGAGGAAAATGGGGAACAGTCATTACCATCTGCCACTGTACTGTTATTACATGTTTTGGTTTGAAACGTAATCAGCACAGCAGAGGCAGGTTTGACAATCACCACTCGTTCTCTTTAACAAGGAGAACAGTGGGATCTCTGTAGAGAGGAGCAGGTGAGATCAAAAGAGCTGCAGCATTTATTTGCTAGTCATAAATCAAATTTAATTTAATTTTACATTTAGCATAAGGCTCTGTCCAGACTTGGCCCAAACACTCATCTGCATGTCAGCTTAAAAGTTAAAATCAAGGAAGCTGCAAAAAATTAAACTTGGACTACAAACATGATTGATGGATCTACCCACAGGTCAATGACTTTGAAAAGTCTCAGTAATTCCTAAAGGTCTCAAACATTTTAGATGTTCTCTCACCTCTGAGACTATGATGAAATTAAAGTTTGATTTATGCCTCTGGTTATTTTATAGTTGTGGTTCAGAATGCGAGAAAATTTCAATGAGAAAACAATTCTTTATCAGCCTTACTGCATATTACCTTGCATAACCTATAAGTTGTTTAAAAAAAAACAAAAAAAAAAAAACTGCACATACAGGTCAGGCAGTATTCAAGCCTGGTTTTAGTTGAACCAAAAAAATGCACTAGTTAAAATGTGTTTAACTAGTGTACTCAGTTTTAACTGCATATGTAACTGCAGTGATATAGTGAAAGTTGGTTTATAGTTTAAAGTACTTCAATTAAAAATTCTACTTACTTCTCTTGACTTACAAAGCAACAATTAAAGACTATGATCTTCTTTTGCTGATTGTAGCTCGTAGGCTAAATCTATTGTGTGCCTCACACAAACCTTACCCTCAATCCTTAACTCAGCACTGACCCCTGTTGTCTAGAAGAAGACGTGCCTCCATCTTCTTACCTGTTTGCCATTATGAGTGACGGAGGACAGGATTGTGCGGAGGGTCTTGAAACCCATGGCGATGTCCAGCAGATGGGCAGCGAAGAAAAAGTTGTTGTAGTGGCCCAGAATGGACATGGTTGTGTACCAAACTAGATACAGGAATGACTATTGCAGACACAAAATGATCAGAATCAATAACTGAGTGACACAAAAAGGAAAATCCCAAAATATGGTTGTCACTTCTCATGTCGACTTACGTTGTCCGTAAACACCACTCCCATTTTCCAGACGTGGTATTTTGTATCGATTGAGCTCAGCCTGGAAAAGGAAAGAAGCTGATATTAATCATTCATATTTTCTGTTTGCCCTCCTTTTTTTTTTCATATACAGTTCCAGTCCCGTAGCTATTTATTGCTCCAATCTCACACCATGACACTAGCGATGCCTCCTTGGCAACCGTCTCCTCTGTGGGGTTGAAATCCAGAGCACTCTTGTCCAACCCCAGCAGCTCTGCTATCCTCTCGGCTCCGTACAGATCTCCATACTTTTTTATCACCTGCAAACCGCAGTCACAAAAATAAACAAGCGAGTGAGAAGACGAGCAGGGAGGCTCCTCTTTTGCTTTTACTTTAGAGCTCATGTGGATTACAGATTTAAGCAAGAAAACAAATATTTAAACAACTTACTTTGCGTTTGACGAATTTATCCCAGTAGTTGTTGGGAAAGGAGCTGATAAAAGCCACAAAAGCACACATAAAAATTAAACCACTGTTACAGCTCAGAGAGAAATAACTCTCTGAGACAGACTCACAGGGTGTTGATGACCAGCCTGTCCCACTGTCCTTTAATGTCGTCATCAGACGGCTGCTCGGTAATATACAGGCCTGCAAACTCCAGCTTCCT